ATTAGTTTTAAAATTATCTTTCTACTACGAGTACCACTTATACGAAGCCATAAGATCTTTCAGATATTTCCATAATCACCTGTTGCGACACCCACGGGACGAAATCGGGTGATGAATTTTCTTACATCACCACCACACGGAAAAATGCTGGTACAGTAATTAATGTTCAAAGAACTATTTATATTTTTTCATAAGTATTTATAGTATATAAAATATCAATATAAAGTGTCAAGGTTTCTTGACGAACCGTATTACAAGAAAGGAGCACGGAGTGTGTGCATAATTCAATGACCAGACACTATTTGTTCCGTACATATTATGAATAAAAAATGTAACGTAGGCAAATATTTTTAGATCCAAATATGACTGTTTCCTTTGCACACTACTCAATATAAGAAAAATTATAGAAAACAAACTAAACTTAAAAAGATAATAAACATTAGCGCAAAGCGCTTCTAGGGGCGACATTAGTAAATCAATAAAAACATTCTTTTAAAGAAATACCTTTCTAAAAATCAAAAGTTATCAAGCATAATTTGAAAATTTTTCTTGTACTGGGTTATCCTGGGTAGATGGTTCACAATGGCTTTGCACGGGTAACTGTGTTTCGGTGCCATTTCAATTATTCTCACCCTGCGTGAGCGAAAAGCCGATATTCTCTCTATCATGACATCACTGCCCAATTATCAGTTTGTAAAATTTGGAATCAGCGTTTTGGACGGAGTTTCCACCATCACCCGATCATTTGCGCCTCATCCGTCAGTCAGCATAGCGCTTCTTCTATATAATTTGTCTACCCTTCTTACACCCGCAGTTTATAATTTCTAATATTTTATACATGGTAGAGCCATGCTGCAGCTATATTAGTAGTAAAGTTGTAGCATGAACGGGTCGGCTCGACCGGGGAAGGACCACGCTCTCACAGAATACCAGTGTAAAATAGCAGTATAATGCTGCTGTGTTTCGTATGGTGAGTGTAGAGAACCGGAGACCTTTTTTACTGAAAAAGAGGCGTTCCATCTTAGTCCTCACGGGTGACAACGCATCTGCATTTTGATTCTTTATTGAGGATAGATGTAGATGTGTGGGTCACAGCAACCACTTACCATCAGGTGGACTATGTGCTCGTTTGTCACCCTATCCTATAAAAAAAATCTATAAGTCTGTAAAATTTAGAATCAGCGTTTTTGGACGGAGTTTCCACCATCACCTTATCACTTACGCCTCATCCGTCAGTCAGCATAGCACATCTTCTATATAATTTGTTTACCCTTCTTACACCAGCAGATTATAATTTATAATGTTACCTAATGCTGACGGCTCGGTGGCGAAGTGTAAAAACGTTTGGTTGCGGCGTTGCGGGCTGCGGTTTTGACTCCCACGCTGATTTATTTCACATAAATTATTTCAGGATTTATGAGTATTTTCATGTGCAATTTATGATTTTTAAGGGAAAGAAACAAGCCCCGTGATTAAAACACATAAAAAAACAAGTCCGCCTAAAAAGTTTACTCTATGTCACTTCGACAACTAAGAAGAATCTATCCATAAAGCCGTATAAGCTACAGAACGTGCCAAAGAAATAAACATACATACGTAAATACATAAACTCGAATAACCCTCCTTCTGGGGCAGTTGGGTTAAAATATAATGTCACTGAAAAATAAACACACACAATATTGTTTCCTTCTTATTTCTTCTAGAGATGTACTAAAATTAACAAAGAAACGAAATAGGTAACTCTGTGACAGGGATTTATATTCGACTAGTGATCCGCCCCAGCTTCGCACGGTTGGTTCCAATAGTGAATCTAAGCCATTCCAATAAAACTCATTTATTTTATTAGTTTTTCGATTTCACAATAAAAAGTTGTGTCTGTTTTCCGGATCAAAATAAAGACCACTCCTGGTATTGTTCTCCGTCTGTTCGTAAAGTTTCATCTCAATCGGGTTAGATATCTTGAAGATTAGTCCGACAGATGACTCTGGAAAACCCTGTGGGCTTAGTAGAAGTTATTATAGCCAGTTATTTCGGTATTATGACAGACACTTCAATTATAATAATATTATTGCACGCCTCACAACGTACGGGGTGCTATAATCTTACTCTCGATATGTGGCCATACCTCAATTTCGCTACATAAAGTCGTCTTTATATTTTTAGCTAGAAATCAAATCTATATTAGTATTAACGTTACAATAACTACAGACATTGAATTATAAGATTAGTTTATTTTCTTATTGATTCATTTTAGATTACAAAACCAAAAAAAAAAATAATTGAAAAAATATATGGACTGCCGTCCGTCTGTGCATCGGTGAGTCTTCTCGCTTTGGGATTTACGAATATTTTCATGTGCAATTTATGATTTTTAAGGGAAAGAGAGAGTACTCTGTAATGCCTTGTGTATTGTGTAATCAATACATACGAGTATAAATAAAATTGAAGTGTCTGTTTGTAATGTCGAAAGAACATTTTTTACTATATGCATATGAAAGTATATACGACACTTATAACAAAAACATGATTTTTAAAATGTTTGTCTGTCTTTCTGTATGTCTGTCTGTCTGTTTGTTCCGGCTAATCTGTGAAACGGTTGGACCGATTTTGACCAGACTTTCACTGGCAGATAGCTAATGTTATAAGAAGTAACTTAGGGTACTTTTATTTTAGAAAAAGAATTAGGGTACCGCGTAAAAAATTAAAACCCATGAAATTCAATCGTAATAAATTACGCGCGGGCCAAGTCGCGAGGAACAGCCAGTATTAAATATATTATGTTAATATATGTTTTAAAATGAAAATATACTTTATTTATTAAAAAATATTTATTATTTAAAAAATGCAAGGATTACATTAAGAAAATCGAATAAAAAAATTTTTTTTCTAAGTTAATTCAAAAAAATTCATTCGAAATTATTCCAGTTTTCGATACATCAGTATGTGCGAATTCGAATACTTGTAAATCTTTTATATAAAAATTTCCAGTTGAATGCAAAACCTTCTAAAGTTTTAACTCTTAATAAAGCATTGTAAGTTAAACCAACGGAAAATTTCTTTATCTCCAATATCAACAACAGCTTTTTCTAAGGTTAAACCTTGTGATCGCAATTTTGAAAGCTTATTGTAATGAAAATTGTTTACGTGAACAATAAATATTTCCACTTTTCCAAAATTTTGTTATACTTGGAATTAAAACACTACCATTATTTTCATAAGTGGAATGAGAGTAATTTTCGAAGTGAACCATTATAACTCGTGGTATTTGATCAGGTGGACCGTGATTTTCTTCATAGATGATCTTCAACGTAACATATAGCTCCATTCGATAAAACTATGAATGGTTGAAGTCCACCTGATGATGATTACTTAATAACAAACAATCGACGTAAAAATAAAATTCATACAATTTCATCAAAGACAGATTTACTTAGAAAAAGTATTTTCGGTATATTATCTAAAATCTACAATAAAGTTCCATCTATGTTTCATGAAATGGAAATAAGTACCAGAGTTAATACTTGAATTAGAGATAATTTTCGTTTTGTAATACTATATTCCAACTTATTTTGTTTAGAATTAATTTAATTTGATATTTATTTAAATATCAAAATTTGTTATTAATTATTACGTAATACTTTTGTGCAAGCTGTGTCTAGTTATATATTATCAAAATACGATTTTTGAACTTTGCTTTATTGACCGAGAAAAAAATTCCACGCGAACGAAGTCTTTATCTATTTTATACTGAATAAAACCATCAGACGCGATGCCAAGCGCAATTCACCATTTTCGTTAAGCCTATCTATATCGCAGACAAGATCTTTTACCTTTCTCTAAGTCGCTTTTTACAATATATAGGTATTGTGAAAAGCGAATGGATGAGATAGGATTTATAGTATTTAAGTCGGTATGGCGTATCTTTAAAATTCGTAATGTTTTATTGGATTTTAGATTTTACTTTAAGCCAGGACACACTGAACAATCATATTGTTGATATTTTTGCATTTCATAATTTTTATTTATAATTTAACGCGATAAAGTTCATAAAATTTGCTTTATTCAATTTATAAACTCTTTCAAATCAATTTTAAATTTAAATTGATATTTTTTTTCATAGGTTGTTCATTCAACTCTTTATTTAAAATTCAACTTTTTTTCCTGCTTATCATATGGAATATAATATGGAATTTCATATTATATATAATATGGAAAAGTAAAAGTTAAACAATTAGAAATAACTTGAATGCTTGAATTCGTTTGCATCCTTGTAACATTTGTTGATATTTATAATATTATATTATATTATTTAGTAAAAAAAAATCTTGCAGCGACCACGCAGAATATGCTGAAAAAATAAACTTATAGTAAAATTATAATTTAATTAAAGCTTATTTATATGGGATCACACTTGAAGTGTTAAATTAGCCTATTAAATAAAATAGAATCACTAAAATTGGTTTACAATTTTATATGTTTAAGAAACGTTACCTCCACACTAGGATTTTCTCCTCTATCACAATTAAAGAGATCGCGATATCTCAATTGTTAACCGTTTAATATCTAACATTTTGTATGAAAAAAAACACACACTCGAATTTCAATTACAAAGAACTTCCTCCTCTTTTGAAGACGGCCAAAGAATATAATAATGAACATAGTATTCATAAGACTCAATTAAATAAAGATACTCACAGCCAAGTAAGTATAATTTAAATCATCATATCTCAATACATTTTGTATTTACATTAAAAATGACTAGTACGAAGTTCGTAATTGACATTGCTTGATTAAGAAAAAATGAAGCCTTTGGTCTTACAATACAAAATTAATTCACCTGTTAACCAAATGTATTTAATGTTTTTAGGCATTGACAAAAGAAAATTTACGAACACTAAAGTGAAATTAAAAGAGACGCAAGAGAAGAGATGAATTGGAGGGGAAAGTGTTACACCGTTCCGATGAAACTATAAGTATAAGGCAAAATCATGACAGCGCGCAAAGCCTTCTCTCGCGTGCACTAATGTGTACGTAATGAGCAAAAGTAAAGGACCCTACATAAGTGTTGCGTTTGTTTAAAAATAAAAGTGCGACAGTGTGTACGTGTGTTTTGACGTATTAGTTTGCGGCGTGCCGGTATACCGGTAAGCTTTCGTTTAAAAAAAATACAAATATTTTTTTAACTAAAATTTCTATTTTTAATTTTAATGTTTGTGGCATTGTTTAAGATTGATTGGTATTCAATTATTTTTATGTATTTAAATTATAATTATTTATACATTTTAATGAGATTTATTTAAATCTATTTTTATGATAGCCTGATATTTATATGTATATATGTAACGTTCTATATATAAATGTTGTTTAAATTTAATACCGCTGATCTAATTTAGTATAATTTCCGAATGGTAGCGTAAGATAATCCATCACACAATTTTCATCCCGTATGATAAAAGGCGACTATATGTTATGCCAAAAAGATATTATGTCCTCCGGCAGATTTAGGACAAAAAATATTTTAGGGATAGGCCCATGTCCTGAAATGGGCCTTAAAAGAAAGAAATAAAGAAAGAAAGCAGTTCTTTCAAATGGACCTTGACAGACTGATGATCACTTTATAAATTAATAAACACACATTTTGTTAATAAATAAAAAAGAATTTTGTGGTAATTTTCATAGGAAGAAATACATAATACAAATATTGTTCATATGTACTTATTTCAGTTTACATTTCGTCTTTGAGTCTAGGAAACGACAAGTATTAATCCGTTTAAGATACATTGTTAAAATAAAAAGAGTACAGATAAATAGCTATAATTCCTTGCACTGACTCTAAATAAAAACTTACACTAATTAATAAACGCTATATTTATGTAGAATAAGGGTGACAAATGCGCACACAGTCGCATGATGCCTAAATCTCTATGCTCTAACTACTATAGAATGTCTATTAACCAGTAAAAAATGTCTCCTGTTCTCTACACTCACCATATGAAACACAGCTGTATAAAGCTGCTATTTTCGCTGGTTTTCTGCGAGAGCATGGTTCTTCTTTTGTCGAGCTGATTCTATTTCCGCTGCAACTATAATGTACGAGCTCGTAGCTCCAACGTCTCTTTGAAAATTGAATTTAACTTAAAATTTTCATGAAACATTACAGTGGGGTTAAGGAAACAAGTGTTGACCTTAAAATGTTCATAGTACGCGAAAACACCGATTTTAATCCTCGCCGTGACCAACGACAGTTAACTGTAATTGTAGGAGTAAGTGTATTTACCACGTACTTAGGAGTAAAAGAAAACGGTGCGAAAAGGTTGCATATTTTTTTTATAGGATAAGGGTGACAAACTAGCATACAGTCTACCTAATGGTAAGTCGTTGCTGCGGCCCATAGACATCTACATCTATCCTCTATTACAAATCAAAATGTAGATGCGTTGTCACCTGTGAGGACTAAGATGGAATACCTCATTTCCAGTAAAAAGGGCCTCCGGCCACCTGCACTCACCAAGCGAAACGCAGAGGTAAACCTCTACTTCACGCTGGTTTTCTGTGAGGTCGTGGTACCACCCCGGTTCGAGCCGGTCCATCCGTGCGACACTGCCCTGCACTGCCGCGTGGCTCTACCACTGTTAAAATATATCTTGTGTCAGTAATAAAAGGAGAATTCCGGATTTAAATTCTATGAATAATTATGGTTAAAAAGCCGTGATAGTTCAGTTAAGAGCTGGCTGTACAATTTTAAGTACAGATAATATACCATATGCTCGGCGGTTAATAAATATCAAAGCTTTTAAAAAGTTACTTCGCGAAGTAACGTTTTAAAAGCTTTACTATAATGGATTTCTGCAAAGTAACGCCTGATTCTATTAATTATATAAGGAAATATCGTAAATAATTTAAAATTTTGTACAACCGACTTCAATATAAATTATTAAGAATAACTCAAAAACTATTGGTCAGACCTTGATCAAATTTATATGGGATCATATGTGAATCACCAGTTTTTTTTTTATAGGATAGGGTGACAAACGAGCACACAGTCCACCTGATGGTAAGTGGCTACTGTGACCCATAGACATCTACATCTATCATCAATAAGATGCAGATGCGTTGCCACCCGTGAGGACTAAGATGGAATGCCTCTTTGCCAGTAATAAGGGTCTCCGGTTCTCTACACTCACCATACGAAACACAGCAGCGTTAAGCTGCTATTTTACGCTGGTTTTCTGTGAGAGCGTGGTCCTTCCCCGGTCGAGCCGACCCATTCGTGCTGCAACTATACTACTAATGTAGCTGCAGCATGGCTCTACCACGTAATAAAATTCAAATAAATAAGGAATCATGGAAATCGGTTCACCCAGTAAGAAGTTATTAGGTAACACACATAAAAAAACATACAGTCGAATTGAGTACCGGCTCCTTTTTGAAGTCGGTAGAAAAGAAATAAAAAAATATATCCGCCCGCGTCGTAACTATAGCAAATATCTTTTGAGGCAATCTATGGGGGAAACCTACGTTCAGCAAAATAAAATAAGCAAATTTTAATTAAAAAAAGAGATCGATTATACATAAATAAATTTATACTTATTTAAAACTAAAATTGACACTTCGTAACAGAAACCCAATATAATTAAATACACCAATTGCTGTGCTAATTTTCAGTAAGACCATATTGCGTGGAGAGTTACATGTAAGTAATATAAAACTGTTGGAATTCGAAATTATATTGGTGTTCGTTTGTAATAATATACTGCAAATAGAATGAGGAAACAACTTTCAATCGTTGAAATATTCAAAAACAAACAATATTAAAGCCTAAAAAACCTAAAAAATGCGCATTGATCATGAACTGTAATGATCCTACTGCGAAAACTAGGTCAGACTTATAAAATTGTTGTAGTAATCGATTCTAAATACGACTGCAAAATTTCATATTATTCAGACGTCCGAAAGTGGGTGAACCGGAATTAAAAATCCATGACATACATACATTTAACACATACCACTAGTCCAACAAGGGGTGGTCCCGGGTTGGAATCCCAGGTAGGGCCAAAATTTCCGGAGTCCGAAGTCCGGAATCAAATTAGCGGTGTTTCATCTTGTCTCGGAATGTACGTAAATCCGTTGTACGATTACGGCGGATTGCCGTACCATTAGACTATGATAGTGATGAGTGATAGTTAGGGGATAGAGAGTGGACCTGTGGCTTCGCACACCCGCTCGCACAATTAATCCTGTCCTCGCAGATGGTTAGTTTCCGTAGACGCCGGCCACCGTGAACGAAATACTGTCTAGACGATATTATACACAGGTTAAGCTAGTAAAAGAGCGTGTAAATAATGTTCTCTTTTATTTTTTTAAGACCGGCTCTTAACCACACTAAACACCTTCAACCTTTAAAAAATACCTTTAATAAAACATTCCTTCATAATGTGATATAGAAAGTGATAGTGAAGTGTATATCTAGATTTTGGATCCGAGTCCTTTCTATATAGAAAGGACTCGGATCCAAAGTCACAAAGTAGCTAATATTCTACTAAAGAAATAATATTGACAGCCCATAAATACTTACAACGAATTTCAAACAAAGGCTTCTAATGCTTTTGGTGTCTATTTCAATCGATTCGAACCCGGGAACCACAATTTCATACTGTACCGTATAGTATACTCAGATCAACAAAGAAAAACAGACGGTGTGACGCCGAAACCAAGCAAATGCATGCAATTAAAAAATTATTTGCATTTTGCAATTTGTGTTTTTATTTCTGTGGTAGAGCCATGCTGCAGCTATATTAATAGTATAGTTGTAGCACGAATGGGTCGGTTCGACCGGGGAAGGACCACGCTCTCACAGAATACCAGCGTAAAATAGCAGCTTAATGCTGCTGTGTTTCGTATGGTGAGTGTAGAGAACGACGGCTCCATGACGCAGTGGCTTAGCAATGAGTTTGAGCGCTGGGGGCCGCGGGTTCGAATCCCGCACAGTACAAGTATTTGTATGGCCTACAAATAATTGTTCCGGGTCTAGATGTTTGTCCTCGTGCAATTTATTTTTGTAAACTATCTCCACGATACAGGAGAAAATCCTAGTGTGAGGGGTAACGTTTTTTAGAAAAAGAAAGAAGAAAAAACCGGAGACCCTTTTTACTGGAAAAGAGGCATTCTATCTTAGTCCCCACGGCTGACAACTCATCTGCATTTTAATTCACAATCGAGGATAGATGTAGATGTATATGGGCCACAGCAACCACTTACCATCAGGTGGACTGTGTGCTTGTTCGTCACCCTTATTCTATAAAAAAAAAAACCAACAACATAGTTTTTCATGTATATATTGCAACAGTTATGTGCTGATAAAGAGAGAAAAACGATTTTGTATGCGTGAGTGTGTCAAGATGTCAAAAAGAAAGAAATGTAAGGGAAAATATCTTTATTTATTGGTCTTTATACTCAATATTCGAAATCTTATTGAATAGTTTTTGGAAAATAAAGCACCAGAGTAAGTTTGCCCTTATACTATATTTTTTCGAACAAAAGTAAATTATTTTTTTTTCAAAGATATTCGAAAATGTAACCATTTTTTTTATAGGATAGGGTGACAAACGAGCACACAGTCCACCTGATGGTAAGTGGTTGCTGTGGCCTGTGGTTGGTGTCTACATCTATCCTCGTTTGCGAATCAAAATGCAGATGCGTTGTCACTCGTGAGGACTAAGATGGAATGCCGCTTTTCCAGTAAAAAGGGTCTCCGGTTCTCTACACTCACCATAAGAAATACAGCAGTGTTAAGCTGCTATTTTACGCTGGTATTCTGTGAGAGCGTGGTCCTTCCCCGGTCGAGCCGACCTATTCGTGTTACAACTATACTACTAATATAGCTGCAGCATGGCTCTACCACGTATAAAATTACGCTATATTATGATTTTACTGTGATGTAATTTTGGGATATTCTGGACCATTTAAGATCAATGTAAAGTCATCCATTATGGTACTCTTTTCAGGTCGTTTAAGTATTAACTATTGCAGTTTTATTACATAATGAATATTGTAATTTGAATTATTTAAATTCAAATTACAATACTTTACGGTATATTGAAAATAATGGAGAAGAAAACTCATAACATCAGGGCTTTATATTAGA